TGTATAAGTTTACAGCATATTTTGGAATTCCGGAATTGTTGTCCTAACAATTTTGAAAATATTGTCTTCCATAATCCAACCCCACTCATATGGATTAGGTAATAATGAATTCTAACAAAATGATTGCGCTCAGCAATACGAAGCCTGCTAAATAGCTCTAGAGATATGCAGTTGTAAAGCACCTTGCGTAGGGTATGGCGACTGGTAAACGTCCTTTTTTTAAAAATAAGTCTTTCCTGCATTTGTTTACACTACTGTAAAAACTTGTAGATTCATATAGTAGCATTGCAAATTTTTCAATTAAGTGGAACATACTGATGATCTCTTCCATGAGGAACAACTTAAAATTGATTGCAAGACGTTACTGACATCTTCAAATTTTTCCCAAGTTCTCGAGGAATGATTTTCCCTTTTTCCAGCAAAAAATGAAACTTGATCGCAACCTGTTATTGCATGAAATAGAGGTAAACATTTCTGTTTTAGACCAAAACATTTTACAAGATCGTACAGTGAAATGAAGCGTTGGTTTTCGCCTGTACCAAACCATATCTATAACTCTTCTAAATGTAGCTTATGAAAAAGTCCTAAACCTAAAATTAGAAAACTATGATCATGTGATTTTTAATAAAAATTATTTTCATGACATAAAATATTTTCTGACTTAAAGATAATCTAAAGTATAAAGTATATATACTTGGACTAAAAGTAACTTTAATAATTCGTTTTTGTTCTGATGGACGTGAAGAAATGACTGACAATTACTTGGAATCTTTGATTCGGGAAACACGCGACGACATATATATTGTCCTCATTTGATTCTTGCTAATTCTCTGTGTAATTGTCCCATGTAATATCAACTATTGCATACGATTATAACTGTTCCAAAATGAATTTCTGGAATACCTTGGTAAATTAATCTTTAAAAAATTCACAATTAAATATTTACAACTATTGATCCATCAATAATTAAACATTCAACTATGGTTTTGTTTTTAAGTGCGCTGTGCAAAACAACGCACTTAGATAACTCATTGCTCATCATAAAAGCAAGTTAAAAGATCTGATTTGTTTCCACTGCGTAACATTTTTTGAAAGAGACGGTGGAAAAGTGTGGCTTTCATGACCAAAAAACTCGTTTAGTCGTTTCTATTTCGTATCTGGCAGGAAATGTACAGTTGCGAAAACAATTTGCGGTTCTTTTTGAGCACAGATATTTGCGATTGATCTTTTAACTTACT